GACGGGTGACGGGTACCCAAAAGGCGGCGTGTATAACACACACACACACACACACACAGGCATGTTCACACCACGTGGGGTGTCCGTCAGCCCCGAGAAGGAAGGACACCCTGTCGCCTGCTGCCACACGGAGGGGCCCTTAGGACGTCACGCTGAGCGAAGGAAGCCAGTCACAACAGGACACACCCCGGGTGAGGCCCCTCACCTGAGGCCCCTCCAGTCCTTCGGTGAATTAAGACAGGAAGTAGGTGGCGGTCACCGGGGGGTGGGCGTGGGGGGGCCGAGGTTCCGTCTGGGAAGAGGGGAGGGCTCCGGGGGGCAGACAGCGGGGACAGCGCACCTGAGCGGGGACGCACTTTAGTGCCCCCGAGCTGTGCACTTAGCCACGGCCAGGACAGTAAATTTTACGGTGCGTGCACTTCCGCACGGCTCGTGAGTGTTTTTAAATGCCAGCATAAGAAAGCAGCCGCTCGCGCGGGGGCGAGCCCCACAGGTCTCAGCCCACCCACCGCTGGGGGAGGGCGCAGAGCGGCCTAGGGCACTGGCCCCGCCCCCCGGCCCCAGGAAAAGGAGTCCTGTGTGCAAAGAGGGTCCGCAGCAAGTGAACAGAGTCTCAGGCTAGAGCATCCGGGTCCTCGCCGGGCACCCGCTCTGGGGCCACCCGGGCCCACACGCAGAGACCGAGAGACCCCCGGAGCCCCACCCCGAGGCCCCTCCGAGCTCGCGGCGCTGTGTGGAGGGAGTCTGCCCTCGCACGGGTGTGCGGGCGCCCGGGGCGCACAGGGCCGCCCCCGGGCCGGCGCGTTCAGGGGCCACCGCCTGCTCGGAGTGGCCAGCGATCATGTCAGGGACGGGCAAGTTCAGTGGCTTCAGGGGTGGGTTTAATTACATGTTGGCTCTGACTAGCAGTGGCTACGATGGTACAATTACACATGTAATTTATCAGCAAGACATTTGCATACATAATAAACCAAAAGCAAAACACGAAATCTCGCCGAACGCTAAAACTATAAAATCGGGCCACGATGTGGGGCGGCGTCACTCGCAAGGGGGCGGGAGGAACACCCGGAGGCCCGCCCCTCACGTGCGCGGGCGGGGTGTCCCCACCCACCGTGGCCACGTGGCACGCTCCCGGGGAATGCACTCCGCACGGCAAGTCGGCCCCAGGCCCCTGCGGAGTGTCAGCAGCGTGCCTCCACGGGGGTGGGGGCGGGGAAGCTGACTCGGGAAGCTCCCGCCCTCCTGTCACCGCCCTCCCGTCACCGCCCCGCTGACGCCTCGGAACTTGCCGACCACAGTCCCCGGGGTGCCGGGCAGGCCGCCCGCCTGGCCACGTCCTGGGGCTCCGAGCCCTGCTGAGCGTCTGAGGGGGGAAGGCTAACGACCTAACAACGGCTTGTACTTTCCGTGACCTTGAATGAAGAGGGAGAAAGGGACCGGGAAGGCCGAACAGAGAGCACGGGACTGCTGGCGAGCACAGCAGCAGCGCACAGGCGCCCGGTGCCTGCCGGGAGCCAGGTGTTACTTTACGGGTGCGATCACTCAGCAGTCCCGGCTGGGGTGACTTGGTGTCCTCAACGCTGGAAGTAAGTGTCCCAGGGGACGGGCACCCTCCGCGCCTGCACTCGGGGCCCCCCGGGGCTGAGCTCCGCCCACCCCAAAGACCTCACGCGTGGCCGGCCTGAAGAGCAGGCAGGAGGGCCTCTACAGGACCGACCCTGAAGGGCAGGGGACGTGCAGAGTCTCACGGGTCTCGCAGGGGACAGCCCACCCGGCCTGTGGCTCCCGAGCCTCCGGAGCCCCTGTCCACGTCCCCCCGAGAGTGGCCCCCTTCTCCCCCCGCCCCACGTCCTCGGCCATCTGTGCGCGCTGCGTGGACTCGGAGGGACACCTGCACCGCACGGCCCCCGCACGGTGTCAGCTGACGAGGTGGCCTGGCACAGTCCCAGATATGTTTTTTCTGTTGTAAAAGCTGGATTAAAATGGAGAGATTGCTGAGAATATATTTCTGTAACTGACCATCTTGATGGGGGAAAAATGATTGGGAGGGAAGGAGTGACGAAATGATAAAAAGAGATTTCATTTGGGCCACTGGGCCTGCTGTTCCAAGGTTCTGTTAGGGCTGAAGAGAGAGTCCCACCATCCAACCACCCACCCATCCATCCACCATCCATCCATCCACCATCCATCCATCCACCCATCCAATCACCTACTCATCCACCATCCATCTATCCACCCATCATCAACCATTCACCCACCCATTCATGCACCCACCTATCCACCCTTCTAGTCAAGAAAGCTTCCCTGAGAACCTCCTATGAATCAGGCCCCATCCTGGGAATTGGGGAAATGACACTGAACAGAGCAGAGAAGACCCCACCCCCTCCCGGTCTGCAGCACAGCAGGGGAGACAGACCGGACGCCAGCAACCGCGCAAGTCTCCACGGCGCACCCGACACGGCGGCACCTCCGAAACCCCCTCAGAGGGAGGCACGGCAGCGCCATCGACCTGCTGCCACCGTCGGGGATCAGCTGCAGCCACAACCGGGAGCCACTCAGACGGAGACGCCGAGGGCGCCGAGACGCATCCCGACAGGACGGCGTCACCGAGGGCGCCCACGACAGGCGACACCTTCGCCAACAAAGCTGTACTTCCCACCTACTCCCTCTTTGAACGTGCAGATGGAGGTGGGTGCACACGGACCCAGGTCCAAGCATCTCGATACGAATTTTGAGTTCAAAATACTTCTCCCGATTTCAGTTGGCGGCCTGTTTCAAGCCCGTGAGTAGAAATGATCTTTGTTCTGAACCACAAACAAGGATCCCTCTCCCCTTCTTTCCCTGCCCCCTCCTGTGCTCGCAGCCTCTCCCCCCTCCCCGCCCTCCGGCCTGGAGAAGCCGAAATGCTGCCCCTGCCCTCAGAGCCAAGCGGGGGGCCAGGGCGGAGCGAGCGGGTTCTCCGCGAGGGTCTTCCTGCGGGGCCGCCGGGGCTGAGGCGCGGCCACCTCGCAAAGGCACCGGGAGAAAAGGACAACCCCCCCCCCACTTCGACTTGAGTGTGTAATTGTTTGAATACATCTCGCCTGCACGACAATAATGTCATCCTTGGTTGACACAGATTTTAAAGCCCTTTGAAAAGGTGGAATGTTATCAATCACGAAGTGATTATAATGGGTTTTAAGTGGGAGAAGATAAGACTCGGGCCCTCGCTGGGGCCCGGCAGAGCGACCGTGCCGGGGGTGGGGGGGGCGGGGCGGGCAGAGGGAGGAGGAAGCTGCGTCTCACCGGGAACCGGACGCGGCGTGCTGCAGCCCTCCCCCCTGCGTCTGCCCCCCCTCCACAGACGTCCCCAGGGGCCCTCGGCGCGGGATTCCCCGCACCCCAAAACACCTGCTGCGCGCCCGTCACAGCACACGGGGGGTTCTCGGAGGGGGGACTGTGGCCCCCGGGTGACGGGCGGTCATTTCTGGGGACGCGTTTGGTTGTTACAACGGGGACAGGAGACACACCCAGCATCCTGTGGGCAGAGGCCAGAGAGGCTGCTACACATCTTCCCGCGGGGGCCAGGCCCCCACCGCCGGAACCGGCCTGCCCGACGCACCCACGGTGGGAGGCGGAGAAGCCTGAGACCCCGGGGCTGGTGGGCGGAGGCGCGAGTCACAGAGGCCCCTCCCCAGAGAGGGTTCTGGGCTGCTCCCTGCGGCTCTGTGGTCCCCCTCCCCCAGCCACCAGCTGCCTGGGGCAGGAGCCCAGGAGAAAGGACCCTTCCAGCCCAATGACTCACTCGTGTGCCTTGTGATCTGCGGCCCACCTTCCTCGCCACGTGTCAGGAGGGACCGCGAACCGGGCCCCACGGCGGCCAGGCCGGCACCAATCCGGCCGCGCGTGGGAGCGCCCAGCACCGCCCCGCCCTGCCTGGTCCCGTTTGCCCACCCAGCCCAGGCACACGCCTGGGTCGCCAAGGCCAAGACTGGTGAATTTCATTAAAAATGTTAAAGGGGGGGGGAATCGGCTTTGAAAAATAGTAATCCTGTCTTTCAACAAAAATATTATAGGAAGCTATGAATTTGGTAGATCCGAATAGGATGTTGGTGCGTGTTTTACTAAGGTAATATAACGGCACACTATTATTAGATCACATTAATCACGGCGGTGCCAACGGCACTGACAGCCCCGCTGAAAAGGATTGAAAGGCCTGGTAATGGATATAAATTACCCATTGTGTGATAAAAGGATTTTTACTAAGAAGGTAAGAATAAAACAGCAAATTTCTAATAGAACTGTTGTGTAAAAACCCAAATAAGAGTAATCCGTGGTCAGTAATACCCACCGAGTCGCGGACGAGCCCTTCTCCCACCAGACAGAGTCGCAGGCAAGGAAACGCACACTCAGCAGGCGCCGAGATTAGTCCCCGAGCGCGCCGTCCTGCCGTCCACGCCCCCCGCCCCGGTGCACGTTGGGACCCCCGAGGCCCAAGGCCGGGGGGAGGCAGGCTGGCTGGTCAGGCCCGAGGGGCGCTCACCGTGACAGGAGGGAGCCCAGGCAGCCGCTGGCCCCTCTGGGTGAGATTTAAGGTTTTATCGGCTCCGACGCCCGGAAAATCCTCCACGATGGAGGCTGACTCCCGGGTCTGATGGAGGTGTCCCCCAGGCCTGGGCCAGGCCACGGAGCCACGTGGCGAGCCGTGGCGACACTGACCCAGGCAGCAGCCCGCCCGCCCGCCCGTTCTCATCCAATGTCGGCTGCCGGGCCGCGACTCTTACAGACGTGGCCCAGGAGAGAAAGATGCCAGCCCGGCCCACACGTGGACGTGGCCCAGTCACCCCGCCTGGAGCCCCGGGCTGGACCCGAGACCTTGAACCCAGAAGCTCCTCCACAGCCCCTCTGTCCACGGAGGGATGCGGGCGGCAGGGAGAATACCACGCCCACCCAGACGGGGCAGCCTGGCCCCCCACCGACGGCCACCCAGACACCAGCCAGCGACGAAGCGCGTTCCTTACCGGGCAGGTCTCAGCGCAGCGAAGCTCCGCCCCGGCTGAAGGGTGCTCTCGGCGCCGCGCTGGGCAGGAGCTGCGAAAACAAGAGCCGTTAGAAACGTGTGGCGTGGACACGGCCGCTGCCACGGGGCGGGGAGGCAGCCCCGTCCCGTCCGAGCCAACAGCGGGCTGGGCTGGCTCGGGCCTGACGCTGCCTGGGAGCCCCCCGGCCCGGTCACTGGGCAGCGTGAACACGGGAATGTGCGGTGGTGGCCGCAAGGAAGCCGACCTGCCCGGGTTCTCTGGATGGAGGGCTGCCACCTGCAGGCGGGGGGAGGGGCGCCGCGCCTGCTCCTCGCTGGACGGACAGAAGGAAGAAGAACGGGCAGGCCAGCCCCTCCCTCCCCGGCCCGCCCGCTGGGGTGCTAAAAGGAAGGGCCTGAGGACGTCCTCCCGGGTTCTGTTCTCCCCGGTTCAAGGAGCCACCTGTTGTAAGCCAGCACCCCACCCAAAGCTCCACAGGCCGGCCGTGCCTACTCAGGGGACAGGCAGCCCCCCGAGGGTCCACACCAGGAATCTCCAAGTGGCCCGGCCCAGGGGTGTGGTGTGGCACTGAAGTCCCCTCTCCTCAACCAAGACCAGGAAGGCGGCAGTACGAGACAAGGGCCCGAGGGAGGCCAGCACGCCACTCGGGGTGGCCGCAGCGGCCGCGCCGTCGGCTGGGGTCCCGCGGGCCCAGGAGGCCCGGCCCGAGACCCCCAGCTCTCTCCCGGGCCAGCCGGGGCCAGCCCGCAGCAGCTCAGAGTCTGTGCTGTCGTCCCCGGTTACAGAAGGGCTTTCCTGGGACGTGCCGCAGTCCCTTCCTTGGAGGCAGCATCTTCCTGGCCCTGACGCTGTGCCTTGTGACACGACAGAGGCAGAATTCGGGGAGGGGTTCGAGGACACGTCTGCGGAGGAGAAACCCGAAGAAGCACCCGGCTCGCCCCCAGCGGCAGCTGCGCCCCAGGAAGTGGACAGCGAACGCCCGGGTGGCCACGCGCCGTCCCGCTGCCAGACTGGTCCCCGGCCAGCGGGGAGGAGCTGTGAGCGCGCCCCTCTGAGTGTGACAGTGACCTGCCTACGGGTCTGGAGACATGAAGCGAAACCTCACACCTCGACCTCCTGTGATGGGCAGAAGTCACAGCCCCCGCCACCCTCCCCTCCTCCCTCCCTCCCTCCGCAACCAGATTACCTTTCCCGTTTCGATTTCTCTGTTTCCTTTAACACGGAAACCTTTGCAAGTGTGCAGAGCTACGCACCCCCAGGTCTGTGCCAGCCCGGGGACTCCGCACAGACTCTTTAGGTTGGGGGGCAGAGGGCAGGAGGGGGGGTGGACGCGGGTTTTCCAGCCAGGGAACGTCCTCGGAGAAGCTCCGCCCAGTCCAGAGGGGGGCGGCCCGGGAGCCTCGTCTGGGGAAGCCCTGCGCCCCCTTGTCCTCGGGCTTCCTGCCGCGACGAGAACGCCACTGTCCCCGCCACCGGAGCGCAGGGCGGTGTGCGGGCTCTGCGGGCCTCCGTCCTCGGATGCCCCCACCGGTTCCGTGGCCACACTGGGGCCGCGCCTCTCAGGGGCCCCCCCTCTCAGGGGCCCCCCTGACCGCCTGGGTGTATCTGGAGGCGGCTGGCCCACCTGGGCAAGTGGAGCCCACATTCAGAGTCGGGGACCCCAGGAGAGCACATGCGGCCAGGGCCGAAGACCGGCTTTCTGGCCGGCTCAGACCAGAGGGGGCTGTTTGCTGCTGTCACAGCGCCCGCGTCCGCCCAGGGAGGCTCCTGGCCGGGACCGGGGGGCAGGGGGTGGCCAGGGCAGTGGCTCTGTCGTCCTCAGGGACAGAGCCAGCCCCTTCGGCACGAGTGACTTGCATTGAGAGGTGACGCAGTGGCACAGCCAGAAGCAGGTGCCTGACCGGTTCCTGCCTCCCCCAGACACCCCCGCTGAGGGGACAGGGAGGGGGCCGGCAGGTCCCACTGGTGAAGGGTCTGGTGGGACAGGGAGCCGGCCAGCGGCATGTGGCCAGCAGGCACCGGGCAGGGAGACCCAGGGGCAAGGCCAGGTGCCGAGACGGGGCCAGGGGAGGTCAAGGTTCGGAGACCTTGGCATGGGAGAGGTGGGGGCGCCTTGAAGGAAGTGCAGGGCGGCTGCGACGTGGAGAAAGAAGAAAGAGGGAGCTGGGGGAAGGGCGGCAGGGGCCCTCTGCCTGAGGCACCTCCCGGCCCCTCGGATTCAGGGGTGGGGGGGATGGAGGGCTGCAGAGCTGTGGCCGGGGCCTTGGGGGAGGGGGAGGGGGAGAGAAGGACAGGCAGGAAGCTGGGAAGATGAGGCAGAACGAAGGGGGGCCGGGGGCAGGGGGAGGGCAGAAGGAATGAGGGGCCGTGGGTTCCGTTCAGCCTCCCCGGCCTCTGGCCCGCCCCAGAGGCGTCCCCGAGGGAGGACGGACAGCGGGTGAGGACTGCTGTCCCCAGGGCCGCTCGGGACCCAGCAGCTGGAGCCGGACGGAGGCGACAAATGCATTCCTTCCGGAAACGGGAGGAAGGAAGGGTTCGGAGACGTAGCCAGCCGGACACCTCGGTCAGCCCCCTGCCCAGGGAAGGGTGTGCCCACAGGTGACACACCTGGGGACGAGACTTGGCCATGTGGCCAGCACCTCTGAACCCTGCTGTCTGGTGTCCAGAGGGGCGCGCAGGCGGGGGCCACAGCACCCCTTCCTGGGCTCTGGGCACCCCCAGCTCAGCCCGCCAGGGCCCTGCCACCACGCCGGGACTCCTCGCATGGGACCAGAGGTTCTGCTCGGAAGCACTGAGTGACCCTGCTGTCTCCGGGGGCTCGGAGGGGTGACCACGGCCCCAGACGGCACCGCCCATGTCCCCGCACATCCCAGCGGGAGAGGACTCCCGCAGAGGGAAGCCACCGGGAAGGTGTCGGGACCCGGCGGCACGCACCGCCTGCACCTGTGTGTGGTGGGGGGGGCCTGGTGCCAGCGAGCGGCTGCACGGGAAACACGGCAGAAAGGGAGATGTGCGCCAGCGAGCGGCAAGCCCTAAAACCAAAAAGCTGCCGGGGGAAGGTCGGGCTGTGAGCGACGGGGCTCCTCCGGGTGAGGGGTGGGGAGACACGGGACCTCGGACCAGAGGCCAGAACGAAGGGCGGGAAGCAGGGAAGGACTTCGAGGGTCGAGCGGGCAGCGGGGGCGAAGGCCCTGGGGCGGGGGGACGAGGGCGCGTCTGTCTGAGAAGCGGCACGGCGTTCTGTGGGGCCAGGCGGGGACGGGGCGCGGGAGCGGGCGACCTCGGCCCCCTTGGGACCCGCGGCCACGTCCGGCTGCACCTGGTACCTGGACGGTGCTCGGAGCCACGGGCCTGGAGATGGTGCCTGAGTGCCCGGGGGCCTGTCCTCTGCAGGCCCACCCACCCACGGCCCGCGCCCGCCACCCTCCCTGGGGCTCACACTCCAGGCCTCTGTCCCTGCCCTCGTCGCTCCAGGGCCAGACCCCTGACAGCCGGAGACAGCCCCTGAGCCCAGAGCTGGTCCAGACCGCCCAAACTGGCCGATCCCAATCCCGCTTGCCCACCTACTCTGCGCTTCCCTCCCAAACCGCAGTGAAGCTCCTGGCCAGTGCGCCTCCCCGACCCCTCTGCCCCTGCCGGCCCTGGGGCCTCCTCCCCTGGGGACTGCAACAGCCGTGCTCTCAATGGCCACTGTCCCCCCGTGGGCTGGCCTCCCCGCGTGCTTGCTCCCAGGGCCACCTCGGAGCCACTGCCTCCCTCCTGGGGCACGAGTCACACCCGCTGAGAAACGGTGGCCCAGCGGCTACCGTCCACGGCCACCGAGGGTCGGAGCAGAGGAGGAGCTCAAGCACAGCCCGTCCTTTCCTGAACCCCATCCGCCCACCCCACGGAGTCCCGCGAGCGCGGGGCGCGCGCCTGGGTGCGTGTGCGCGCGCGCACGCAGGTGTCCGGACGCCCGGAGACGGTACGACGCGACGGGCGCGGGGCTGCCCAGACGCGCTTCCCAGGGACGCCTCCCCTTTCATCTTGAAACAAAGGTAACTTTGATGGCGAGGCTGCCGGATACCTGCTGGTGGGAGCGCTTTCGGGGGACACGCAAACGGCAGAGGCTCGGGAGCCCGAGCCCCGCGCTCCCGGCCAGGTGCAGGGGCTCAGACGCGCGCGGGGCCTCCGCCCGCCCGGGCCGCCCCCCGCGCGTGTGTTTCCACATGCTTGAGCGTGACAAACAGCCAGGCTGCTCGGAGCCAATCACATTACGTCCCTGTCTCTTTAATAAACAAATCCATGTGCACATTAACAGTGTTGAAAATTCAATTTAAACTCTTTGTCTGTTGCTGCTTACTCTAAAGATGGTCTTTCTTAAACACCAGAACACCAAGGAGTCGTTAGTGTTCTCTCTTCATTACTTCAAAAAACCAATCATTAGACACCAGAGTATATACGTAATTAGAAAATCACTTCCTTTGCAATCCAAGCTAAGTAGTTTACATACTGTAATTACAGGGACAAAATCAATTTTTAATCATTTCCCTGATTGGGCTCATCAGCTCTGTGGGAACATTGTAACCTGCTTGTCGTGCAAAAGCAACATCTGGGCTAAACAATTACCCTTTGTTTGCTACAATATTCCTTAAATCTTTCTGCTCGCGTGGAAAAAAAACGCAAACACGGAGACGAGATATTTGGATGTCTTTTTGTCCTTGATCAACATATTTCCAAAAGTCCTCCTGACGGAGTGTGCGTCGTCCCCCGGAATGTGCGGTTTCACAGCACACTTCCAAGGAATGTATTTTTTCAGGCAGATAAAAGTATCTGATTGTTGCAAAGATCCATTCAGCTGCCTAATTGTTCCATAGCTAACACATGGTATTCAAACAACCCACACATTACAAAAGCTCATCTGGGCAATCACGGGCGACTATTATTGCGACGGTTTACACTTTTCTAATACAAATGAATGGATTTTATCAAATTTTTAAAAAAAAAATAAACGAAAAAGCTGAGTGTGTGTGAAAAATAGTTGGTATGAATTGGCAAGGCGAGGCTAAG